CTCATGTGGTTGAACTCGTTTTCATTTTTATATATGGACATGTTATGTTATTATTATTAATTATTATTATTATTATTATTATTATTATTATTATTATTATTATTATTATTATTATTATTATTATTATTATTATTATTATTACTCTTATTTTATTATATTACTACAAACTTACTTGGAGCGTTCAAAATTCTTGGGCAGCCATCCTGTGATGAGAAAGAAACAAGTGGCTGTTTGGAGCATAACTAGACGTCAGTGAGCAAAGACAGAAAGCTTTGCTTCTTTTCTTTTCTATCTGACATTGAGGAAAAACAATTACTGAGCCATTTCAGAGAAAGGTAAACGTGTCTACAACTCCCTCAACAAAACTTTTACCTGAGGACTCTGTTGTTTCTTTTTCTCTAAACGTCCCCACGTCTTCCTTCATTTTCTGGTCGCATTAAAATCCGCCCAAGGAAAACAAAATCTTCTGAAAAATGTCCAATCTTTAAAAAAAACAACAACAGAACAATACATTGAGGGTAGTGAAGTAAATCAACAAACCACATTCCATTTTGACAGGCAGCACATTTACACAAAAACATCCACAGTGACAATCATGTACATTTGGGACTCAAACCCTGCTAAGACAGCATTGTATAAAATAAATCAGTTTGTATTTGTATGGAGACTAAGATGTCCTATTCCACTACAGAAACCCTGAACTATATTTTTAACGTTTCAGGGCCTGGGATACAGAAAAGAGATGACTTTGAAAATAAAACTTCGCATGTTCCTCTTACTGACAAATTCCTTACCTTTCCTTGACAACAAACAGTACACCGCCAGTGAAGTAATGCAGCCCAGGACAAACGCTGCCACGGCTGTCCCAACTACTACTGCTATGATCTCCTGGTCGTCGCTTTGTTGTTCCAGCTTCTCGCCGTGTGTGCCTCTGTCTTGGTACACAAGCAGGAGATGAAATAGAGAAATAGTTGTACTCTTCGTAACAAGAAAGATAATACAGGGACGATCATTGTAGAGAAAAACAATCACAAGACTACGTGGCGCGGTGGGATCGGTTTATTCTGTACTGACCACACACTGGCAGGCTTACCCTTAAGCTTTTCTCACTCACCACAGGTACACAGTGTACACAGCCTATAATTATGCCAGGCATCGTATCAGTCACAGATACACAGTGTTCAAAGTTTATATATGTAGTAACTGACCAGCAAACACATATTCATACACACACACACACACACACACACACACACACACACACACACACACACACACCTGGGAGAAAGACGATGACTTCTGTTACCAAGTCGTAGCACCCACTGGGATGTTCTGCCCGACAACTACAGCTGGTCTCGTTGAGACAAACAGACAGCAAGGCGGGGACAAACTTTCCATCAGTCACGTCCCGACCCCCACACTGTAGAGATATGTCTGAGGCAGAGATGCCCGGGAATCCCCCATCGACGTGACACTCCACACTGTGCTCTGTGCCGGCCTCAAGAACAATGGTGTTACCAATACTGACATCGGTGAAGGTTTGACCGTTGATGACCAGTGTAGGGGCCGTCTTGGGAGGTTCTGAGGAGACGATAGCAGCCATTTTTTACCCAAAAGAAACGGCTAGCCATACAGACGTTGATAAAGCGCGCCTCCTAAATACACGACGAACCGTTAAATAGAATCTTACGTAAGAGAATACATATGTTCTACTTTTCACCTTGCTGGAAAGAAAGGGTAGAGACTGTAAAATGAGCCATAACCACATTTAACAAGTCTTTCGTTAGTTCACTTCACAGAGACAAGAATCTGTCAAGTAAGGAAAAACAATCAACTCTATGAAAGTACATAACGGTCAATTTCCGGAAATTTGTTTTTGGACAAGTCACAGGTTTTTTTTTCTACTACTGGCACAAACAAAATTCGCTTTTTGTTTATTTTTGTTCTTCTGTTTGGCTTTGTTGAAATGAGTGAACTGACATTTGGGGATACCATTGTCGGCATTTTGTTGTGATTTGAGGGAAGTAAATCATTAACATTTCAATTCATAGTTAGCAAAAGCTTCCATGTGTGAGTTTGAGGTATTTATTGCTTACGATAGGTAAAAGTGTTGTTGGTGCCAGTGAAACTACGGGTTATAATGAAGCTAAAAATAGGATCATTTAGCTGTGTATAACATTTCTGCTAAGGACAATATTTATTTTTGAGGTTGTTTTTTTAAAATCCTCCTCACCTCGCACGTAGACCTGTACAGAGGGACTGTCTCCCCTCATATCTCCAAAAGCGCTGTTCACTGCGTCACACCGGAACTCGTGATTACCTCCCCCTGAAGGCACAAAGTTGTGGGAACACTTGTCGTCGTTTCCTGTACATGCATCAGCAGTTTGTGTTCCTGTTGGCGTCACTGTGAAGGTAAAACTTGCTCGTGGGTAGACAACTCCTACAGAACATTCCATTGTTATATCTGGCGTAGCTGACGGACACAGGTTATACGTTCCGGACTCCTCTGGTCTCACGTTCTTTCTCTCCAACGTGACACCTTCAGGTCCGTCTGGGTACAGAGATGACCACAGAACAGAGCAATTATGGAATGAAACACTTACAAACGTAAGTTGTACTTAACAGAAGTGAGAGGCAAATAGTACAAACAAATAGGGAAAGAAAAAAATGAGACTATTTTTCCCAGACATTACTTATTGTTGAAAAGACAAGAGAGTAAAAAAAAAGATATAATAGAAAGAAATATTTTCCCGTCCGTCAACGCAACCTTCTACCTCTCTGACAAGTACATTTGGTACACCTCAAATGTACAGAAGTAATCATCTTTCTCAACTGAAGTACGCTATTAAACAGTCGAACCTGGTCTAATTACTAACTGTACAAGATAATCACTTAGACAAATGACCACTTTCACTCCCCCCCCCCCCCCACGTTGCTTTTTTTTCTATTTCATCATTCATGACACTGTCCACCTAAAATGACAACCTTTCTCCTCGACAATGGGAGGTCGTCTTGACCAGGTTCAATGGTTTATTCACAACATTATATATACATAGATATATATATATATATATATATATATATATATATATATATATATATATATATATATAGATATATATATATATATATACACAAATCATATGGAAACATAATTACTAGAAATATCGATTCAAAACAAACTGCAGTTGGAAAATTCTAGAGAAATCTATCTCATGCAAAAAAGAAAGACAGAAATCGTAAATGATTTGTGCCACTAATCGTGTTTACGATAAAACTTCTTGTTCATAATGGATAATAAGTAAATGGCGTTTGTAAAGTGTTTAGATGATCAGAAAACATGCAGGACTCACAAGCAGCTTTGATGGTGACGTCACTCCGTTCATTGTAGCATCCACTGACGTGAGTGGCTGTACACGAACATTGTGTCTCTTGTGACCTAGTTACGACCACAGAACTCACACCAGAGCTACCGGCCTGAGAACTAGGACAGCTCAGTCGTACGTCACTTGTAGCAGGATATCCCCCTCGGACCACACACTGCACTCTGGTTGTGACGTTTTCTTTCACCAGGATTTCTCCAGTACTGAGGACCGACGGCTGACTCACAGTGATCTCAGGAGGATCCGGCGGAGGGACTGGGAGATTCGGAAAATATACATGTACAAAAACTGAGTGCTAAAAAGAAGCAAAATTATCTACAAAAACAGAGTGATTAAACGAAACAAAGCTATCTACAAGAACTGAGGGATTAGAAGAAAAACTGCTGTGCTCGTGTTGTGTGCATTACGAAATAAACAATTGTGTGAGTAAACAACAAATACAGATACTTTTTTTTTGACGATCTCAGACCTGCGACTTCCCCGTGATAAGCAAGTTCACGACAGACAACAAAGTGTAGGACTACAGGAAAATTTAAAAAACCAAACCTAAGACAATAAACGTCTGAGTGACCTCAGTGAAGAGATCAGCGGGAAATAACGAGTTCTCGACAAGACATCTGACGTTGTGAGCTCCGCCCTGTAACTGTAGAGTCTGCTGTACAGATGTGCCTACTTGTGCACCGTTCACGGAGATTTTGTAGTCTGGCTGAGGGTTTACTGTACTGGGGTCAACAGTACAAGTGGACACAACACTGAGACTGGGGCCTTGGCACAAACTGGACGGGTTTGTGCGTGAGAAGGTCAAGGTAGCGCTACTTGGTCCATCTGTAAGAATGGAAAATTTAAAAAAAAATTTAAAATCTAAATATTAACATCCATTGTCCCATTTTTATTTAGTTACTTGAATCGTGGAGGAAATATTTGCTGTATAAAAGTATTTCATGATAAAGATAAAATACTCCCATACTCTTTTTAGATCACGTTTGGTAATTTTTCCTGTTTTATAATGCACTTAAGAATATTCATATATTAGTACAGCTGTATTATTGGATTGTCTTCCTGTGGCAGCTTGTTTTTGTGCATTCATGTTTTACAGAATACCACACAACACTGTAAATGTTGAAGATGGATCAAATATGACCCCAGCTTCATGTTGATTTCCTGAATTTGTTGGGGGTTTTTGTATATTAGTGAGAAGACAGATTCAGAAAAAATGTGTAGATATGTTCTCATAATGCACTGTAGACAACCAATAGCAAGATAAGAAACGACAGACAAATCGAACATCTCAAAGTCCACAAGAACTGAGAACACTCACAGGCAAACTTGACGGTCTTGGAGACAGAGGGACCTGCTTGACCCAGAGAAGACTCAGAACGACAAGTCAACGTCTGGTCATTGTTGTTGTTACCTGAAATGTCAGTTAATAATACACACTCAAATTTCTGTTAACAATGCTGGAAACAATTTGGAAATGAGAATGATCCTGTATCGTCCTGGTACTGGATCAAAGAAAAATTTTTTTTGCTGTGTTTGATCAAAGAAGAAAAGTAAAACAGAACAACAATATTAAAGGTGTCACTCAGGTGCAGGATAGATGGTGACCCAAATTGTGACCCAATAGTACAAGCATGTATTTTAAAAAACAATTCCCATGTTATAACTAAATGAAAACACGAGTTTGGGGGATTCTTTTTTTTTTTTTAAAACAACTTTATATAATCTAGATCTAACCATGTACTAGAAAATAAACTAAAAGTAACATATCAACAGGAAATTACTGTAGCATGCAAATGACATCATGGCTTATGGAGAAAGGAATACAAGAAACCTCAAAAATAATTTGAGAAAATACCTTGCACCATCAGCTTTCTTGGTTCATTGTTCTATTTGGACTCAGAATATATTGTGGTTCCATTTCTGCTTAAATATTTCGTTGTTTGCATTTTGGAGGTGGGGAGGGGGGGGGTGTTAAAGGTTGCAGATGGAGGAATTTGCAGCTTGGAATAGATCTAGGGGGTAGGGCTTGAATTGGAGGAGTAATAGGTTCAAAACCATCTTATGGCGTGCAGTGTGGTGCACGTCTGAGAAAGATATTGCTGACCTTAAAGTTATAGTTTTTATCACGTAGATTTCAACAGTTGGGACAACATGGAGGCCTTCGCTATAGGTTCAAGGGCACACCACAACATTGAAATGCCCACAGAGAAAAAAAAAACAGTCTCAGTCAGATATTTCCATTACGCTTGATACTTTTTGAAGCTCCACTTTGTTATTTTCCTTTCGTCGATACTACTGCTGTCTGTTAAATCATGTAGAGCATTTCAGCCTAAAATATGTCCTGGACCGCTTGATATTCCGACACTGACTGACAACCGGCCATAAATAACATATAGAATAAGTCAATAGGCCCTACGACTAAGATGCTGCAGTGCTGTGTGTCTTCAAGTCGTACTGCGGCCAAAAGAATGAAAACAAGTGGCTGAACAACCCGTCATTAGGAAGGTAAAAACTATTGGTTTACTTTCATTTGAACTTCTAACTGATAATTCAACTAATATGTTCCCATACAGGCTGACCAAAACGAAACTGCTTACCGGAATTTAGTACTCAACGTTTCTTCATAATAAGCTGATTTTAAATTTGAAAAACAAAGAGCTTGTCGTTGATTTTAGAAAAAAAGAAGTTGTCCCTGCAGCAACTCAAAATTAAAAATGAAAACATCGAGCAAGTGTCCGACTATAATTATTTGGGTGTTACAATAGACAACAAACTCGACTGGCAAGTCCACACTTCTCTTCTGCTTATAAAATGTTTACAAAAGACTATTATCTTGTATTATAAAGTTGATTAATCATAAATATCCATATTCTATCTTTCAACCACAGAGCGTATGATCAATTTCTGTGTAGCAGCTTGCTCTGGGAACACAAGAGTACAAGATAAAGAAAAATGAAATCGATAATACGGAAAGCATGCAAAATTTCAACATCTACATTCCCCTACTTCGATGAATTATACATTATAGCTTGCACTAGAAAATTTGATTCCATCTTTTTGGACAATAAACACCCCTTGCTCCCTCAAATACAAATATCAGTCTGAAGTAATAGACCAAGGCTTCAGATCTGTAACAAAGAAAGATACACAGAGTCATTCTTACCATTAACCACCAAACTTCTTAAATCTTAATCATCTGGTTTTAAGTATTCATTTGACCTTAGAGTATGCATTAGAATACCATTGAGTTACAATCAGAATACTGAGTATGTATCTAGCTTAACATTAGAATACCATTGAGTTACAATCAGAATACTGAGTATGTATCTAGCTTAACATTAGAATATCATTGAGTTACAATCAGAATACTGAGTATGTATCTAGCTTAACATTAGAATACCATTGAGTTACAATCAGAATACTGAGTATGTATCTAGCTTAACATTAGAATATCATTGAGTTACAATCAGAATACTGAGTATGTATCTAGCTTAACAATATTATGTGTCACGATGCACTGGAATCCGTCAATTTTTGGGCAGGTGGAGTCATTGCTATCATCTTAAAGTTTGTTCATTTGCCTTGCTTTAAATTTTTTTAAAATATGGACGAGTATCCTAAACAGGAGTCTATATATTTGCGATTGAAGGAAGTGGGGTCGGCACGTTTCAGAGGTAGAATTAGCCAGAGAATGGCCGCAACAGTTTCCTGACTTCCAAATCTTGAGAGCTCTTGAAAACCGCAGATTTACCTTTTCTGTGCCTTTAATCAACGTTTTTCCAGTAAACTTCACCTATAAATGTGTTTTCAAGTGGACCTAAAAGGTTTGGAGCAACAAAAAACCCAAAAAGGCAATAAAAATTGTGAAACGGGTGAAAAAATGCAGATTTCTTTGATTTCTTTATTTTGACGAGCGCCAGATTTCACTATGAAGACTCACATTATTGCTAATAGTATATATGTGGCTCTTTTCCTCTATGCAGACGGTCAATTTAACTTAAGATGGTCTCAAGGTTGTCTTCATACAGCTTCTTTCATGGCTAATTCTTCCTGTGTTTGAAGCGCAGATTCTGTGGCAGTGCTTGCATGTCAGTGACGTAGATCGAAGCTTTGTATTTCCGCTGTTTTCCTTTCGTCGTTGGCGCTTCTCAGCCTGGTTGTTTCTGAGGCTGTTCTCTAGCATTGTAGTTATTTCCTTTATCATTTTCCTCCATGTTTTCCAGTCCTCAGCTATTTCTTCCCAGATGCTAACATCTACTCCAAGCTTAGATAAAGCTGTTTTTGCAGGTGTCT